CACCACCACCGCCACCACACACACGAAAAATCAATAAGTCACAACCCCTTCAGATAAGCTTTCTTTCCAGTCGCTGTATGTATACAAAGATATTCTCTATGTTTTGTAAGTAAAAACAAAAAGAAAACCTTTCTTTTGTTTTTTACACATAAGCAACAGTATTGAAACAAAATCCCACACTATGGTTCGTAGGGTGGAGAAGGAAGAGGTGTCTCCACTCCAAAAAGAAAAAAAAGTTTTATACCTTACACCAAGTGTAGATCATTTACAGGATTGGTGCTGATTGAAAGAACAAAACAACAAAACAAAACAAAACAAACACAAACAAACAAACAAACAAACAAACAAAAAACCTTCAACTGCCTTATGCCCTTAGGTGCTGAGTGTCATTAAGTACTGTCACGTTTCTCATGCAAAACTCTCTGGTGATTTTCATACCAGGAGAGGAAAAATTAAACAAGCAAACGAAACAAATCTAGAAACGAAACAGAAACCCGCCAACAAATACCACACAAAGCAATTGTTCTTCCTCTCGGATGATTTCTATTAAAGAAAACAAATTTACCAAAAGCAAAGGCATAGAAACCCCTCCCTCTTCCTTTCGCTCCCTCCTCTCCCGTCCCTCTTCCCACTTCTCAGAGCCTTCCAGGAGCTCCCAAGGGCTATTTGAAACTCAAATGGCTGGACACGCTACTCGAAGGCTGACTATGTGCCATCTTAACATTCACTGAAGCAAGAATCACACGTGTTTCCCGGTGAAACGCAAAGCAGAACAAAACAAAATCCACCCCCGATAATTCGGTAAGGATAGGACATTTGAAAGCAAATTAAAGGAGATTTCCATATATGTCATCAAAGAGAATCAGTAATAATAAAACTCAGCATAGTAGCAAAAAGAACGACATCAATTTAAAGGCACAATACTTAATCAGTGACTGGCAACAATGATTTGTTCCGTCATTGTAAGGCTGTGAGCGGTATACATTTATCACATGTGATATTGTGCAAGGCCTCTTATGTTTCCATTTGGTGGGAAGCCTTAAATTGATCTGGAAAGAATTCTTCATTTTTCATTTGTGCTTTTTTTAAGAAAAAAAAAATAACACAAAGAGGAAAACTAGAATATATATATATATATATATATACACACACACACTCACACACACACATACATATGTGTGTGTGTGTATATCTATATATAAAGTCAAATTGTAATAACTGACCCATTTCAAAGACTGTTTGGTGCTTCTGTCTTTCACCATCGTGGTTGGCTGAAAATCACTCAGCTCACCTGGTGCATCTGGGTTGAATGGGAAATTCTGTGTGTGTCGTATGTTTGTCTGTGTGTGAATGTGTGTGTGTGTGCCCACAGCACACGTATATATGTGTGTGTCCCTGCTGCAAGGTCTTGCCAAAAATATACAAAACGCGGTGGAGTGTGGGGCCGGGCTGGGGAGTGGGGAGGATGGAATGCTGCCTGCCTGTGGCCCTGGTTTGGGTGGCAAGATGCCCACCAGCAGCAGACTGTGGGTCTTAGGGGCCGTGTCGTTTGGGTGAGGAGTTGATTCAACTATTTATTTTCTCATTGTACCAAGTTGAGCTTCTGAAGGTGTTGCAAGTATGTTGAACCATTTACAAAATTTTTATTTTTCAAAGAATCGCTCTTTTAAAGACTCTTTCTGTTCTAGGGCATCGTTTCGATCTCTACTTATATCTCTACTTGGGCACAAAAAAAAAAGGAAAAGAAAAAAAATCACAAAAAAGAGAGATATCTATAAGAATATATATATATATACACACACACACACACAATATTTTTATGTAAACTGTTAGTATTTGTTGTGTGTAGCTGAGATTTTTTTTTTTTTAATTCCAAATATAACTGTTTAGGGTGCAAGACCTCACAACTGAACTACTCTTAAGAGAAGTTCAAAAACTGAGGACTTTTTTTTTTATGTTTGTGGGGTTTTTAAAATATATATATTATTCAAAGAGGCTTCTCCTTCCCATCCCCTTTGTTGTTTACTAAAATCTTTTTTTTTTTTTTTTTTTAAAGAACCAGTTTTGAATATCAGTTGTGAGACCAAATGCTCCTTTCTTTCTTTGGGTCACCTTGATTTCATGTATCGTTACTAAACTTTGCAGTGCTGTCTTCTCTCTGCTCCTAACTTGGGGGGCCCCTCGGGGCCCTCCTGGTGGGAAGGAGGAGGGGGAGCCCCACTCTAGGAAGCAGGACGAACAGAGCACACCCAGGTTGTGGTGAGGACCAGCCGGGAGGGTCTGGCTCTGCCCATCCAAGGGCCCCACTGTGGACCACTCACGAGCTATCGGGGAGCTGGGATCTGGTCAGAGGTGCACCGTCTCTGCAGTGTGCTGCCCGCCGAGGGCTCCGCCCCGATCTCCACTGTGTACTCTGCTAGGCTGGGGAAGGTGAGGCCATTCGAGAGGGGCCATGCCCTTCAGCTGGCCGGGATCCCACCTCTTGTCTGCCTCAGGTCTGGGGTTCTGTGTACCTAGAGCCCTAGCACTGCCGGCTTGAAGCTGTCTCCCATGCATCCCCTCAGGACCTCTGCCACTTCTGCTTGTTTTCTGTTCTTGGATTCGCTTCCTTTTTGTTGCTCTTGTGCCTCAGCACAATCACAGGCTTTAATTTGCCACCTCGATTTTGCTGCTGCACATTGAGTGCGTGTGCGTCTGTGTGTGCGCCCCTGCTCACATTTATGCAAAGCTTAGGAAGAGAACGGCTGGTGCCAAATTGTCACGGAGCGCCGCAAGTTGGGATGGCAACTTCCGGCTTAGGGAGGGCCCTCTGCTTCTTAGCCACCAGGAACAAGTGAGAGGATCATGGGACATTTCAGCCACCCTGTATTCCACACTTCTGCCTTGAAACGGCACCCCAAACCCTCCCCAGAAGCCCTCATCCTGCCAGTGCTTTCCTAATAACGGAAATGCAAGCGTCCATCTATGAGCAGCAACAGGGAAGGCCGGTTTTGCTGCGAGGCAGGAAAAGGAAGAAAGTTCGGGAAAAAGCAGAGAACTAGACAGAGGAAGGGACAAGGGAGACAGAGACAAGGACCAGATGGGAATCGTCCTCTGTGTCCTCCGTGTCCTTGGCCTCTAGCATTTCCCCGTGCTCCCAGTTGTAAGAGAGTCCTCTCCCCAGCCATCCCAGCGTGTCTCCCCTGTGGTCCTCTCTCCCCCGCAGCCCTTCCCCTCCCACCAACTGGCCCTGGGCACCGAGGTGGGACTTCATTCTCCCTCTCAGTGCTTTGAGCCCACCCGGGAAGTCTATCTCCATACCCAGATGGCTTTGGTCCCCCAAACCCAGATCCTTACGGCCGCCTCGCACCAGGGTCCCTCTTGGTTCTGCACTAGGTATCTGTGTTGTCTGCCATTTGCCTGAGCCTGGGACAACCCCCCACCCCCGCGCTCCTTTTCATGGGTGTCCTGGGAATGCCTGTGACTTTTCTGGGGGGAAATCTCTGGGCCCATTTCTTTCCCAGAACCCCTTGATAGAAAATAACCAACTTCCAATATCCAGGTCTGATGGGAGCTAAACATGTTGGCACCAGGCATGAGAGAATAAAATAAACGATCCCCTTTTCTTTCCCTCACACATTCCACATCAGAGATGCCCACTAACCCCTGTATTTCATTCCTCTGTCTCCTTTTTGTTCTCAGAAATTTGGCATTATGGCCAAATTGCGACTGATTTCATGAGCAGCATTTCTGCAAGCTCTGTTTCTCCCTTGCTGTGGCAGGCCTGCCTCTTCTCTTGGCCTCTGCAGAAAAGAAAACTTCTGTTCCCTCAGATAATGTCAGAGAGATGTGTCCTGAGCTCCATCCTCTCAGAGAATGTAGGAGGGATGTCCCCTGAGCTCATTTCTACGGCCTGTGGCATCCTGAATGGAGTCCCATGTCTCTCAAGGCCATGCTGAGGAGTGCTGTGCAGGTCTCAGTCTACCATGCCAGCCCTCGCTGGCCTCCCATGTCCTAGAGTTTCTCATGTCGCGAACACAATCCTCCATTTTGTCTCTGGAAGGCATCACCTTGTGCTGCAGGGACAGGTTTATTCTTGCAAGTTGGGAATGGGGGTCCCGATGGGGGAGTACACTCACCCCCAGCAGGTCCCCGGCCAGAAGTGAAGAGGTGCCATCTTTCTCTTTTCTTAAAAGCAGGATTTACTGAGAGGACAGAAAAGCTCCCACAGTGGGAGGAGCCCCGAGGGGATTGCCCGTGCCATCTTTCTTGATGCACACGCCACCATCACTACAGAGCCCCTGTCAGGGAAGACGACCTTTTCCCATGGCTTGGGGGAATCCCCTGTGCCCCACCTCCAAGACATGGAATCATCCAGTCCCCTGTGGCTCTAACCCAGCCCTTCCACAGCCATGGCCTCTCTGAGTCCCGTGGTGGCTCCGAGAAGGCAGATCCTGCCTGGTCCATGGTTGCGAGGATGATTCTACTGGCCACATAGCATCTCATGCCACGGACGTCCGACCCTGTCCCAACAGAAGCGACTCTCAAGAACAAAAAATTTGTATTTTTAAAGGGCACCAAATTACATCATTTTCTCCATTTCTCCTCTAGTTTTACCCTTTCCCACCCCACGGTCCTAGGGGTGGAAGAGACGTTTTCAGACACGGAGCTTATGTGGAACTGCACTGGATGAGCCATGGCTTTGCTCCTTCCTGCGCATCTAAACCCCTTCACAGTTTTTATGAATCTTCCCTTCCCCATCTACCCTGCTCTTGGCTCAGGAGAGACTGTAACGAGCCCCAGGCGTTGATGCTCCCAACCTTAGCAAAGTTTCCCTGTCTGTTTCCAGGGACAGAACAAGCAGTACTCAGGTCCAGAGCCTGAGATGTGGAGATGTGGAGTGCCTCAGAGCCCAGGAGAGGGTGAGACCGGGCACACTCTCATGCTCCAGGACCCTCAGATGGCCACCTAGCATTCATTTGGCACAGAGGTAGCACTCTC